TCCTGGCAGACTTCTAGGGACGTGGGTACATGAATGAATCGAATAAATACCCGAAAGAGAGGGATTCCAGAGACTGTGCTGGTATGAGACAGTACAGTTGAGAATGACTTATAAGAATTAATTGGTACTACCTATACAAACAAGATGCATCTACTTTTCGGTAGCCTGGAACGGAAGAACTCCATAGTTAAGCGTGCTTGACTTGGAGCAATTCTGGGATAGGTGACCTCATGGGAAGTTTTCCCGGGAAGTGTGCGAGTGAGGACAAAGCACGCTGAAAAGTCTCGTGTTAGTGTGTGGGGACAGTCGTTAATCATCGCAAGTTGTCAGGCGTTACAAGTGGTATCAGAGCAGGGCCTCTCATCCAGTACGGTGTGATTCGAGGACGAACCAAGCGGAAGCTGGTGGGCATGTAACATCCCGGGCGCTGACGAGGGCGGAGAGTGATCGTCAGTGCGAAAGAGCATGGACAAGGAGCGGCTCCTGGCAGGCTTCTAGGGACGGGGGTACATGAATGAATCGAATCAACACCCGAAAGAGAGGGATTCTAGAGACTGTGCTGGTGTGGGACAGTACAATTGGGAATGACTTATAAGAATTAATTGGTACTACCTATACAAACAAGATGCATCTACTTTTCGGTAGCCTGGAACGGAAGAACTCCATAGTTAAGCGTGCTTGACTTGGAGCAATTCTGGGATGGGTGACCTCCTGGGAAGTTTTCCCGGGAAGTGTGCGAGTGAGGACAAAGCACGCTGAAAAGTCTCGTGTTAGTGTGTGGGGACAGTCGTTAATCCTTGCAAGTTGCCAGACGTTACACGGATGATGATATGCCTCCAGCATATATATGATTTTAAGCCAAAAAAGAGAAAGAATCTTGATCAATCTTGGATAAAAAGGGCTAGAATTATTATTAAATTGATAAATCTTAATCAGATATCTTGTCATTGATTTTCTACTAATTTTGTAGGAAAACAGACCAGAAAGAAGCCCAATTTGGAAGCACAAGTCTGAAGCCCCGCGATAGTAGCGCCAGAGGAACTTTTTCATCCAGAGACTCCCACGCTACTAGCGTGGCACTGGCGCTAGTAGCGCCAGCCAATCTTGCCACCCGCGCTACTAGCGCGGGATTCACGCTAGTAGCGCCAAGCTACTGATTCATGAACAATACTCCCACGCTTTTAGCGCGACACTGGCGCTAGTAGCGCGGGAGGTGCGAGATAGTTTTTATTCATATTTTAGACTGTATCAGAAGAGATTGGACCAAGATATACGATGAAGATTTGATCAAGATTTCTAAGCACAATATTAAGTCTATAAATAAAGACTCAGACCTCAGAGCAAAGAAATCTTTGGCTGGAGAGAATTGTGAAGATCAAAGAATTGGGAGAATTCTTGGAGACTCGCGCTGGAGATCAAGATTCCATCGGAGTTGAATGCTGAAGACATTGAGTTTTTATTCTTCTTCTTCTTTTCTTTTTAGTTTATGAACAATTTTTATTCTTTTAATTTGTTAAAGTCAGACATGAATATGTCTGGCTAATTTCTTTTTGTAGTTGGGATCACGAACTCGATGTGAATCCTTTATATTTTCTATATTGTTTTTATAATTTAATTTGTTAGCTGTTTTATTCTCCCTGTGTTAATTTTTCCATATCCTGTTTAGAACTGATCACTCTAAATTATAGGTCTTTGAGAGTTAGAATTCACAATAGACATATTGGGGTTTTAATCTGGACAAGGATAGAATAACAATTTGTGCATGACCTAGACATAGACTTACATAGATTGCAGACTTATAATTCATTTGCTTAATGCTTAATTCAAGAGGGATTACTAAGACATTAGAATTTTGATTGGGTTAAAGGGTTGAACTAAGACATTAGAGTTCAACTATTTTATAGGGAAATAATGAATTGTCTGAGCAAACTAATTAGTTAATTATAAAATACAATATAAGAATATAAGGGAGGATCAGAGGTGAATTGCATCCTGACTACAGTCTTTTTACAATTTATTCAATCTCATATTTTCTGTTCCGTTCTTGATTTTCTTGCATGCGTTGAAAATTAATTGTTTTTAATTTTCTATTTTTTAATATTATTTTATTTTAAATTCAGTTTTTAAATTATAAACGCTCAATTACTTTCACAAACCAAACCAATTTTTTTTCAACTTAAGGGGAATAGTTAAACTAGTACTTGATGCATTAATCCTCGAGGGAACGATACTCTACTTATCACTTTATTACTTGAAACGAACGGTATACTTGCCGATTTCGCAACGGATGAACTGGTAGGGGAAAAATAATTCTGATCTCAAACTAAAACTTATTTTGTATATTAATGAATAGAAAAATATTTTTATAGTTACTGCAGATAAGTTATCTGTATTTACTCTCAAAACGACGTCGTTTTGGAATTAAAAGATTAAAAAATTATAATTATAAAGACTATAATAATCCTGAAATAAATAAATTAAAATTATAAAAACACAATAATTTTCGTCCTAAAACGACGTCGTATTGAATTTACTGTAGATAACTTATCTACAGTAACTCTAGAAAAAGCAAATCCATGAGTTATATTAAAGAACAAAATCCGGAATAAGTACGTGCGCATGTCTAATTATGTGTTCTTAATTTACTTATTATAACAAACGGATATCGTCAAACAAGAGAGAGTGGCATAAGGGCGGGAAAAAAGAAAAGGAAAAAAACAGGAGAAAGAACGGTACATAAAAGTGACCCAAATAATGGCCTTGTAGGAAGAGCTCTGGTTTGTCTTTAGTTTTGGCATCTCATGTCACAACTCAGTCATATTTAATATATATAGTGCATTAAATATGTGCATTATGTAAGAGCATGGGAATGAAGGTAGCAGGAAAATCAGATTTCTAGCAGTAAACTTATTTGGGATATTGTTTCATATAGCTATTCCATGAAAACGAATTCGACAAGAGTGGGCCGGCTTAGTACACCCGTTTTAACCTATTCGCTACCTTGAGTTTTAATTTACTTTATAATCAAAATAATCATTACTACCAAACAAGGAAAGCTAATTAAAAAGCAATGAAGAAGCCGCCAAAAATTAGGTTTATATGATCTTTTGGTCACTCCAAATTTTTTCACCCGGCATCACTTCTGCAATATTTATCCAAAAAGGGAATAAGAGATATAATATACTTGTAAAGGGGCATTGTTGTTAAAATCTCGATTTATCACGACGATTTTATGTTTTTACGATTTTTTTTCATCAAAATGATTTTACTAATATTTCAAACGTTTTTACGTTTTTATGATTTTTTTACATTACGATTTTTTAATCCCCTATCGATTTTACTTAAGATCTCGATTTTAACAACATTGTAGAGGAGAGATATTTTAACTCTAAGACTAAGAATTCTTATTCTCAATTTCAACTGTTGATTTTTTTGTAAGACTAACTATTGTAATTCATTTAATTAAAATTAATAATTTTAATTAATTGATATAACTCAATAAACTATAACAATTAGATGGACGAAAATCAACGGCTGAGATAAAAAATAAGATTTCTTAGTCTTATACTGAAAAATTCCTGCTTATATATATATATATATATGAGATTTATTATTTTTATGTTACACAATGAATAATCTATCTCCTACACACACAAATTCAACATGCGTCTCACTCTAATTTTTCTCTCTCTCCCCTGAAAGTGGACCCCACCTGCACAAATAAGTCTGTAGGTCCTACACGCACAAATTTAAGATGGGTTCCACTTTACTTTTTTTTCTCTCCCCCTGAAAGTGGACCCTACCTGCACAAATGAGTTTGTAGGAGATAATAGTTATCTTCTATTGTATGAGAAAACTATTACCCTATATATATATATATATATATATATATATATATATATATATATATATATATATATATATATATATATATATATATATAAATGAGGTAGGATCCTTTGACACTAGTGTCAAATTTGAAATTTGACACCTCATCTGAGAGCCGATAGATAAAAAGAGATCAACGACTCTGATTTATAAGCATGTGACACTATCGATCTTTTTTAATCTAATGACTCTCAGATGAGGTGTCAAATTTCAAATTTCAAATTTGACACTGGTGTAGGATCTTGCCTATATATATATATATATATATATATATATATGGGAAAACATTTGTCCTTTTAAAGGATATAACTTTGTGTCATTTTAGATCTTAACCATTGATTTTCGTCAATAAACGATTAGGATTTATTGGGTTTTATTGCGAATTAATAATTAATTAATAAGTTTGACTTAATAAATCCTAACAATTGATTGACTGAAATCAACGATTAGGATCTAAAATGACATAAAGTTATATCCTTTAAAAGAGCAAATATTTTTTCCATATATATATATATATATATATATATATATATATATATATATATTATGAAGAGACGTACATAGAAATTCTTCCGTGAACTATATATAGTTAGAGCCAAAGTTGACCAACTCTCTCATCCTCAAGTGACTTTTGCCACTGATGTCCTCGATAAATCACCAAGCATGCCACTATAGTTTAACTATATAAAATGATATTGAAATCATATGCTAAAAACTATCCAGGGTATGTATGCCAAAAACTCAAGGTTTTCAAATTTGGACACAATTAAGTTTTGGCTCCATACTCAACATCTGGATGTAGCCCTTCATGCCAGGTCCTACCTCTGCTATAAATATGGTTTCAAGATTCATATAAACTAAGCAGCTATCAAAACCTCCACTCCACTCTGCATCTCTACCGTATATACTATGTTCCCAATAATAGCTTTAGTTCCAGAACTCATTAGTTAACATCACCTAACCAACCCCAAGCTAGCTTTCCAATCCCCTTCACCAACCTCTTCCATATATACTTTGAGTCAAACAAAAGCACATAACCCTTCTTCTCCTCTATTTCTCTTTTCTTTCTACTTCAGAACTGTGCCATGCAAGTCACGTCCACGCATAGCCACATGAAAGCTGAGTTAAAGGGCACAACTACAACCTTTTCCTTTCAAAACCCTACTACTCTCTTTAACACACCCCACAGTCCTCTTTCAGGGGCACTTAAAGGGTGTCTTGGAAGCCTTGATGGAGCTTGTATTGAGAAGCTCTTACTCCACTGTGCCAGTGCTTTGGAGAGCAACGATGTCACCTTGGCTCAACAAGTTATGTGGGTGCTCAATAACGTTGCTTCTCCTGTTGGTGACACTAACCAAAGGCTCACCTCGTGGTTCCTAAGGGCATTAATCTCTAGGGCTTCAAGAATATGCCCTGCGGCCATGAATTTCAAGGGAAGCAACACCATTCAAAGGAGATTGATGACTCTGACAGAGCTAGCTGGGTATGTGGATCTGATCCCTTGGCATAGGTTTGGATTTTGTGCATCCAATAATGAAATTTTCAAAACAATTATGGGGTTCCAAAGGGTACATATTCTAGATTTTAGCATAACCCATTGTATGCAGTGGCCTACGTTTATAGATGCGTTAGCTAAAAGGCCTGAAGGACCTTCTTCACTTAGAATCACTGTGCCATCTTGTGGGCCACAGGTACCTCCCTTGGTTAATATATCAATACATGAAGTTGGTCTACGTTTAGGGAATTTCGCTAAGTTCAGGGGTGTCCCTTTTGAATTCAATGTTATTGGAAATACAACTCCATTATCATCTGCAGAATTGAGCAATGAATCAAGTAGCTTTAATTTTGAATCACTTTTAAGTCTCTTGAATCCTACTGTGCTAAACCTTAGGGAAGATGAAGCTTTGGTCATAAATTGCCAAAATTGGCTAAGATATTTGTCTGATGATCGAAAGGGAAGTCGCCAAAATCTTTCCCTTCGGGATGCTTTTCTTAATCTAATAAAAGGTCTTAACCCCCGGATTGTGCTTTTGGTTGATGAAGACTGTGATCTTAGTGCATCAAGTCTCACATCAAGAATCACCACCTGTTTCAATCATCTTTGGATACCCTTTGATGCATTGGAGACCTTTTTGCCTAAGGATAGTTGTCAGAGAACAGAATTTGAATCCGACATAGGCCAGAAAATCGAAAACATCATAAGCTTTGAAGGTCATCAAAGAATAGAGAGATTGGAGTCTGGGATGCAAATGTCCCAAAGAATGAAAAATGCTGGTTACTTGAGTCTTCCATTTTGTGATGAAACTGTTAGGGAAGTTAAAGCTTTGCTAGATGAGCATGCTAGTGGATGGGGGATGAAAAGGGAAGAGGGTATGTTGGTTCTTACATGGAAAGGTAACAGCTGTGTGTTTGCGACAGCTTGGGTCCCCAGTGAAATAAGGGATAATATCGGTATGGACTCAAATATGTCATAAACATAAGTGGCAAGGCCTACCATGGAATGGTTTGTGCTTTGCTATAGTGGTCCATGGGAGAGGCAGAGGAATTTCGTCACTTTGTGAAAGGGCTGCAAAAGAGACAAGAAGAGGAAACAGCTGCATTTTCAGGATTGTTTTTCGTGTGGCAATTTTGTAATGAAGCTCCATACATTGGATCACATGAAAGGCAAAAAGGAAAAATGTGTTCATTGTCCTTGTATGAGACAAAGTTGTCTCTTAGCAATGTTTTCACTTTTATGCAGCTTTAATTTGTTTGTGCTCAGAGCTTTGGGGTATAAGAGGTTGTATGAAAATCACATTCTCTTATTATTACCCAGTTCTAATAATAAAACCTTTTCAGCTTAGCAAACTACCTTTGTATTAAACATATGTATGAGCATATATAAGGTAAGACTTATATTAACCTACCACAATATCATAGATTCATACCTTTAATGACTGATTGAAACACTGTTTCCTTAATGGGTAGTTTTCAAATACCAGCTGAAGTAAACACTTTTTTTAAGGTAGTTTTAATTTTTTTGGTACGTATCCGAGTACAAATAAAAGGACCACCCAAAAATTTATTTTTATGACTAGTCACCTTCAATATCAAAATGCACAGGCTAAGGCCAAACAATATTTTTCCGAGCAGGTGGTGATAATGATAACTCATAAATTGTAGCATGTACGCCAATTGATCAACCCATTGCAGTAAGGGGTCCAGATGGGACCTCTTCTGAAGTTTGTTTTGTGTTTCTCTGTAAGAATCAAATTTGGTGCTGAAAAGTTAAAAATGACAACATAATCCATTGAAAAAAATGAAATCCGACCTGCCGGATTCGAACCAGCGACCTAAGGATGTCTCTGAGGCAACCCACTACAGTCCTCCGCTCTACCAACTGAGCTAAGGTCGGATTTACAATTATATGAATCACAAAAGTTAACCAAAATATAGTTTTTGTTTTCCTTTTTGTTGTGTTGGAATATTTGGTTAAGGTTTCAATCAACATTCTGTCTCCTAGTTAGTCCAAGTAATTTCTTTTTCTGACTCTAGCGAATTCATAGAAATATAACGTCCTACAACCTTTTAATAAATTTAAACTCGAGACAATAAAATAATAAATAAATCACTTATAGTTATAGTCCACATTTGTTTGTAGATGAGCATTAAAATAGTAGGTTGAAATTTAAACAAAAAAATCTTAAATTTTACCTTGATTAAAAACATAGTCAATGCTTTTATAGATATCCAAGGGCGGACCTACATGGGGTTAGGGTAGGCCCCCCGTCCCTCTCTAAAATATGAAAATATGTTTTACTAAATGATATGCAATATGGTCTAAAAAAGAAAATTTTGAAAGTGCTTTTAAAAAGTGAAAGACAAGCTATGCTATTAATAAGAAAAGTGTTCCACTCGTTCATTGCATCCAATTAGAGATAACTATTATTTACCAGATTCAACTTGCCAGTATATATATAGTAGGTTTTCTTCTTGGTTTGTTATCCTCCTCAATTAATGTGCAAAGTTGGCTTTTTCGTTGTATACAAAGAAGAGTTCAGTTAGTAATGCATATTCACTATACTTGTCAAATTTGTCTAGAATTTGATTTTATATTAATTGATTATATAATTTACTTTTTATAATCATTAAAAATTTGTACAGATTCTCATGTTAAAACTCAGGAAAAGATTATTTAAGTTTTGACTTTATTGACAAAGAAAAAAGGTCAATAATAGTTATTAATTATTATTTGTGACCAAATGCTAAAAATAAATAACACGTTAATTAATTTACTGTGTCTTCTGCTATATAACAACTAAGGGAGAAAATAAGATTCTAAATAAATCAAAGAAAGTGCAATTATAGCACCAGAAGGCATGAAAGTAAACAATAAAAAATTGATTTTAGAAACAAAATATAAGGACTTATGGCTAGTTCTTCATTGAAATAGAGGGTGCATTGGACCACTGTCACTAAAAATAAAAAATTGACATTCTAACCAAAAAATTGGCAAATTTTTTTATAGTTTTATTATATTCTTCTTAATAGGTATTTTTGTATTCCTAACGTGATCATCCAACCAAAACTGACATTACCTTTTCATAATAGTAATATAAATTTTCGCCCCCCGACATATAATTTTATGGGTCTGCCACTGTAGATATCTCTTTATTCATATTAGATAGTTTTTCTATTTTAGTTCTGGTGCTTCATTCTTCATAGTATAAATATCTTATCTGAAATATAGTTGGTGGCCATAGTATAGAAGTGAGAATTATTAATAAGTAATTCGAGAAAAAAAACAAAGAATAACTTGTGGTAGCGTGCTTTTTGGGGATTGTCTGAAGGAATGCAGCTTTGATTATATAATAAGACATTCATAAGAGTTTGAAAGTTTTATAAACAAGGATATATTTCTATATCTAACATACTAGCATGAAGCTCACTATTGTTGCAATCACGGTCAAGAAAACTCCTAATCCACGCTGAAAACAAAATTTGATTATTCAACCCAAAACTTGTTGAATTAAATTGTTCTCTCAAATGATCATCTTGAACGCTTCATTTTGCAAACTAGGTCACCATTTGAATATGGATTATTTTGTAAAGGAGGGGTATTCCCACTCTCAAAATTTTCCACTACTAATTTACTACTTATCTAATCACCATTATATTAACATTTTCTCTCTTTTCAAAATTTTTTTAACATTCTCTCTCTTTGATCCAATGATGATATGATGGGTAGTAAGTTAGTAATGAAATTTTTTGATAGTTAGAATATCCACGCTCTATTTTGTATTCCACAATAAACAAAAAAGTTGGTTTTTTGGTCAAAAATGGATATGCATCACATATTAACTTCGTATGAAATAATTGTATGTGCCGGTGGCCGTTAATCTACCAACATTCTCAATGTGTTGTTTCCTTTTCGGCTTTTCTGTTATGAAATATATGATCTAGTTATAATATAAATAAAAAAACAAAAACAAAATGAAAAAAAAAGCGTCGACAGCAGGATTCGAACCTGCGCAGGCAAAGCCCAACAGATTTCGAGTCTGTCTCCTTAACCACTCGGACATATCGACTTTCCAGTAGCTATATCTAAAACATAAAGTATATCTTAGTACTGACAAACTGAGACAATGCTACACCACAAGATTCACAACATTGAGGCTAGGTCATCATTGCACGGTATTTTTTTAATATGCTCTAGGATCATAATCTTATTTGGTGGTCCTTTATCAGAATTCGTTTCTTTTAAATTCTCTCTCAATCTTTTTTTCCTTCTATTTTTGGAAAGGGAATACAAGCTCCTGGATCATTAAAAATGAGCTCCCAGCTGACAGCAAAAAATCCGAACTGTAATTTTGTTCAATTGCTCGAGGGGATAATTTAAATCAAATCAAAAGTGAATATGTCTTAATTATGCACTTTAGAGACAAACATAAAATGAGTTAATAAGTTATATTATTCCTAAACACTAGTAAACTAAAATTGTGGACTAAGAACCGATTTTCAACAAGTTCTTAGCTGAACATGCTCATCTATGTGTTAGAAAATAAGAATATGAAAAGAAACGTCAGGAAATCAGTTCAGGATAGAATTCGGTCTAAAAACCACATGCTTATACTAAGATATACATAATTATATATACTCAGCCTCATTATATAATTATGCATATACCATCTTTATAGAGAAACCAACCGGTATATTTGGTTACAAGGTCTACTACGGTTATGTACACATTCCAAACAAAAAATACTCTTCAAGCTCAATTGAAACACCAGCACATGACATACTTCCTTACTTCAACTGCCACCGTTTTGATTTTTGACCATCATCTGATATGAAATTTAGAACATATAATGAGATTTGTTATCTCAGATGTAACGCCCCGTTCTAGAACCGGTTTGTTAACATCGCATTATGATATTAAACGCAGTTACAATCACATGGGTTCAATTAAAATCCGGATAAATTTTTCATTTTAAAACATACCGAACTTATAATACCCAATATCGTGATCATAACCATATTACCTTGCCGAATCAGATAAATTAAGCTTAACATCATGTTCTTATTCTATTTTTAAACCATTAATTTACTTTTTATTTATTTCACAACTTCTACTATATTGTAGGTTTCTTCATTAGCTATGCGTGGCTTCAAACCGCGCCCAAATCGGAGCACTGTAGCCCAAGTTAGGACAATTTGAAGCAACACAAAAGAGTGTTGGTCACAGGCCCCGCGCGCTTCAGCGCGCTACCGGGCGCTCAAGCGCGCGCTATCGGGCGCTAAAGCCTCCATCTGGGCGCTTAAGCGCACGGAGGCAGGAAGCATCAGGTATTTCAGTGTGGATGGGCGCTTAAGCGCGTATCAGGGCGCTCAAGCGCGCTATTCTGGGCGCTCAAGCTCCCATTGGGACGTTTTAGCGCGCAGAGACAGAAGCATCTCCTCCTTCAGTGGCTAAGGGCGCTCAAGCGCGGACCAGGGCGCTCAAGCGCGCAACCCTGGGCGCTAAAACTCGAGGGGACAGTAAGCATTCCATCTTTCTGCAGCAAAGGGCGCTTAAGCGCAAGCCAGGGCGCTCCAGCGCGCAATCCTGGGCGCTTAAGCCCCATTTTGGGCGCTCCAGTGCGAGGAGGCCGAATGCATTGGCACTCACAGGGGCAGCAAGGCGCTTGAGCGCGCTCCTAGCACTCATCCAACCTCTCCTCATGAGATCTAGCTAGAACTTGGGCAGCTACCACCCTACTCAAGAAGAGAAAAAAAAAAATGTTAGTTAAGATTATGATCTAATGTTGTTTTAGAGTGATAGACAAAAGTAGACAAAAAAGTGAGAGGTAGAATAACCTACCCTACAGTGAAATAACTGGATCCGTAAACGGAATAATATTGCAATTAACTATTACAATTATTTAAATGTTATTTTAATATAAGCTTTTATTTATTTTAAGTGATAATTAATTTATTTTTTAATATAATTTAATTTAAGCTCTTGGATATGATTTAATTCAATAAATTATTAAA